TGTAACGAGGGACATTAAAGGTAGGGTCTATTACAAAGTTTTGGGAAATTTTGAAAATTGGGTGGATAGTGATTCTTTACAATTTTGATATATTTGGATGCCCCTGTGGAAGTATTATAAGCACTAGAAAATTTAGCTCCTAAAACACTTCTGCTTTCGAAAAAAATTGAATATAAAAATTTACCGGTGCTCCCGGTAAATTTTGATAAATTTAAAATAGCGCCTACGGTCGTACAACGGTAGCTGCTACCATAAAAATCCCGGAATATGTAGTTGTGATATATAATTTCAAAAAGGTAATAGCCAATCGGTCAATTGTAGCTTGTTGTATAGCTGAATTAATATATTGACCTTGAGAGAGAGTTATAGTATACCCCATAAAGAGATTATTATTTACAATTTCATCACTTTAGACTCGATTTCAACGCGACAACGTTCACTGAATATTGTAGGATCGCATAGATCTATGCTTCCAATATTTTCATTTGAACCAAATTCATCCAGAGGTCTAGTGGAGCCAGACGTAGTCTCAGTGGAACAACCGACGATATAGAGACTGAAGCTTTCGGTCTACTGTAGACCTAGGCTAGACTATTCAATATCATATGATTCATGAAATCTGAATTAAAAATCCAAGGCAAGAGATAACAAAACGTAATTTCTTAAATTTGCCGATTCCATGCATCTAGTCTCTAGACTAGATCAAATTAAAACGGTAGGCCTACCCAATGCAGTGGGGCGTATATCATTTCAACTTACCTCTCAGTGAGCTGGCATGTCTATTGCATCCTCTAGACTCGGCAACGAGAAGGCCGCCTGCAGCTCGTGAAGTTTCTCCGCCGTACCCTGGCCTTGTTCACAGCCACTCCCGCGCCTCCTCTGGGCCGGATGGTCGAGCTGCCATTGCTTGTTTCTCTCCTTCCTCTTACCGTCTTACTTAGTCTTATTCCGATTTAGCGTAGCCTTAGCCTTGTCCTTAGGCTTAGCACTAGCTGAGTCCGAGTCGGCCATCGTCCGTGACCTCGAGCTCCTTTTCCAATCTCGATCTCGTTATCGTATTTCAATCAAAGCTTGTCTGTAGCTGTCTAGCGTTCGACCGGGCCGGCGCCGGTGATAATCTGATATGAGCTGTGTGTGTTATACTTTACGCGTATTGGAATTGATCAGCTGTACTGTATTACTAGCGCGCGGTCGGATACCCGCCTGCTAGCTACCTGTAGTACTGTACGTACCAACGAACTGAAACACTCGTTGTAAATACGCTGGTTGTTAAATGACATAGAGGGAGCTAAACACGTAAATTCAAAAAATAAACCGTCGAAAGTCAAAAGTGATGTCCGGACGTCAAACACTTTTATATAATGTTTTGAAAGCAAATTGCACAACAATTAGAGCATTTGATTTGGAATTATTATCATCTCCCATGTTTTTTTCGATGATCTTTCATATGGTACTGAAATAAACCAAATTTGTTTTGGAGGGGCACTTTGGAAATTACCAATACTCAACTATACCTTTAAGAGTTATAATTAATCCAATTTGACCGAAAGCCCTCCAACCAATCACAAACCTACATATTTATATCTATTTGGAATGCAATGGCATCTCTATGGGGGTAAGGGGTACATGCATTTGAAGAGAGTACAGAAAGGGGGCACACAAAAACGTAAAAGAGAGAAAACAGAAAGGGAGAAAAGAAGAAAACTTTTGATCCCATTGAATACATGCACCCCAGTATGAGAGGCTAAATGCCTTAGAAATATAATTTTTTGTTAAAGCTCGGTCTCAGCTCACATTAGAAAGTTGCACAGGTCTCATAATTTTGCATACAAATATAGATATAGGGCCTAGTTTATAATTAGCATTTTTTGAATGGTTCCAAATTTGACACCAAAAAGTACTTCCCATTGCTTTGCCCCCTTTTATAAGTTTCACCAGCCTCTTGTGAGATATTGCACCCTAAATAACTGAATGTTTACAATGGGATTCAACTTTCTCAAAAGAAAATCATCTTGGGTTACCTTGCTATATTCCTCGACCGAAGTGTTCGTTAATTTTGTTCATCATTTAAGTAGAAATGAATAGAAAACCACTTTGATCACTTTGCTCCCTTGCAAAATTCCTAAGCCTGTCGCCTTACTCACTTGCTTGTGCAGTTACGTACATGTAGATAAGTTTGGGCAATGGGGTTTGGGCGCAGTTACATTGATTGCTCTAGGCGCCACTTTATTGTGGTATCGGGCCATTGTTGTATCGGGGCAGTTGTGTGAGGGAAATCTCAGTTGAAATTTTTTCATTGATTTCCATCTTCGATTTTTCACAATGTGTTCGCACAAATCTTTGGTTCTTATAAGAGTGTGAGGAGTTCGATATTATCTCCTCCATTAGGCGCTCTAGCCATCATTGGTGGTGTGGGTGTGATCTGTGCATAATCACATATAAGTTTTGAACCACGTCTCTGATCTAGGACTGATATACTCTGGAACTCCCGTTTTAGTGTATAGTTGTCCGGTATTAAGCTGTCATATCTACATTAAGTCATTTAACAATTTTCTTGGTCACGGAGTGATACATATCAGGTAAAAAATGAAAGGAGCTTCCAGCTCATCCAAAAGCCGCCTGAATGCGGCATCATTATGCTCATAAGGGTTCAGTTTCAACAAATCAGAAGGAATGCTCAAAGACTTTAAGTTATTCATAAAGGATGTATGTTATGTTACATCATTACCTACCAAATTGTAACCTCGCCAAATTAGTTGAAACTACCGGTAAATGCTTTCTCTGCTAAGCCTCCTCACTATTTCCTCATTTGATTTTTAAAAAACTTTGTTTGTGTGTATAACTTGCACATTGGCCCCTTTCCCCTTATAAGCCCCTGATTATTACAAACCTCTTAAATCTTTTAGACCCTGCTGTATTATGAATCCAACTCTCAGGTTATTTTGACTTTTGTCAAACTTAGAAAAAGAGGGAAGCAAGAAGGATATAATGTTGGCATATATACTTGCCTTTAACAATCTAGGCATAAACGATTAACACTGATTTTTCAAAATTATATTGTACCTGGCACTAGAGGAGGTTGGATGGGCTTGCGACACAGAAGGGGTGGGGGGGGGGTGCAAGCTATGCAAACCAAAACTAAGTATGTACATGGAAATGTTTCAGAGTGTAAATCCTGTTGAGTCTCGTATTATTTGGTAATGTCCTGATAATCAGTTTCTGTCACAAAACTGGAGATTAGATTTTGATTCATGATTTATTTATCTAGATTTATTTAGAATTTTAGAAGGAAAGAGAAGAGTGAATAATTTCAAGCTTTTCCCTGTATCATTTGATTCTTCATGATCTATTTATAAAATTATAAAATTAAGTGTACTTTTAAATAAATGATGCTTTGCATCAGTTTCTCTCATTCATTTTGAGAGTATGAAGAGGTGGGCCGGGGAGGGGTATTGACATGAACGGTAGTGGCGTTTGAATTGCAGGTTCTGATGACTTTCGTCAATGTCTTTCAATCTACCAAAAAATGAAACGGCAGTACAAGTTTTGAACTAAAGCGTCCAGTTTTTTCTAATAGCTTTGTATCGATTGGATTATGCCAAAGTTTTGAGATGAAAACTATGGAGGGGGTGGCGCGGCAAGAAGTATAACCCACTGACACAGACAGATAAATTAACTATTATAGCCTACCAAGACATTGCAAATGCTGCGTGAAGATTATTTTATCTCTTTTTCATTTGCCACTTACTTTATTAATATAGCTGCGCACTAATTGCTCTAATTTTATTCTAGGCGAGGGGGGAGGGTCACAGATGAAGGGAAGGGTGCACATTCTGAACCCTACCACCCATTATCTTCATGATTCAGACTGAAAATCATGACTATCACCTGGATCCAGATCTCATTTTATATATCACTTGACAGAAATCCTGCATCATTTTTTAACACACATCATGTCCTACACAACATACTGTCCCATCCCAAAATTACTTTTGATGGGGGTAGGGGGGGGGGGGGGGGGGGGGGTTGAAAGTTCTGAACCAAACCATGCACTATGAACATGTTTAGGATGGAAAATTATGTCTGCCACTTGCAACAGGTCTAATTTTATGTATTATCTGATCTATATCCTTATTTGACTCTGAGAACTCATTATATATTGGTTGCTAAGCATATTATCACCATAGCAACGGGAACTAAGCGATATATATCATTAAAATATGATGAAAATGCATCATCTGACATCATAATTCCTATCACAGTAGTCATCTGCTCAGTAATAGCTTCTTCTCGCGATATATTCTGTTTTTCACATCACTATGTTACCGTTGCTAAGGAGAAGACAGCCCTTAGCAACCAAATTTGCCATTTTGGCTCAAATCAAAATGTCAACTTTAGAGCGCTATAACTTTTTAGTTATAAAAGCAATAGACTTGCGATTTGCATATGATATCAACCATGTTTCTGAACAGTTTGTCAGCAAGTATCAAGTCAGTTAGCACTATAATCAATTAAATATGGAGAAATATGTATTTTGGCACAATTCATATTTCTGAAAAAATTGTAAAAACTTAAATTTTTGGCTCAAAATTATAATGCAAATCATTCCCAAACCTATTGAATGAGGTATCATCTTGTAGAAAAATTAATTTTCTTTCATATGACACCTTACACATGGTGAAATAAGGTACTGTTAAAAAGTAATCCCCCAAATTGTACAACACTAGTTATACATGGCGGCCATTTTGAAAAAAGCCGCCATTTTTTTTTCTCCAAAAGCCGCCGTTTTTTCCAGTAGCAAATTGCAAAGGTAGTCCACCTAGAAATTGTGCAGGGAGGTCCCCCGCACACGTTGAGACCAAACGACCTTTTACAATACGCCATGTCTCAAAACCCCCCAAAATGGGGTTTTGACCCCTAGGTATCATGTGTATGTTATCCTCAAATGAAACATTTTGATTGACAGAAAAGTTTTCACACTTCTGTTCTTAAATTTATAGGTGCACCTGCTACGATGTCAGGATCACAGACTCAACCACTTTCTCCTGACCTGATCAAGAAATGTGCAGAAGATTTGAAATCCAAATACCGGACAACTTTCTGTAAGATCAGAGCTGATCCTCTCGACCCTGATTCCATTGTGCAATTTGACGACATGTTTGTTAACCTTGTCCTGGAAGAGGAATATCGTAAAGGCAAGCGACCACTTACGTACAGGGATCTCTTTAATCACAAAGTCAATGGAGAGTTTCCCAAGCGGATCATGATTCAGGGAGAGGCTGGGGCTGGAAAGACAACATTCTGTTCTAAGATTGCCTGGGACTGGATAACTGAGAATCCTGTTCTCCCAAAGTTCTCGTGGGTACTTGTTATCCCTTTTCGTGAAGCCAAACAATACACGATCGGTGAGATTGTCAAGTTGTATCTCTCCAAGGACAACCCAGCAACAGCCTGCCAGATCACTGAGTACATCCGTTCAAATCCAAAAGATGTATTCATTGCGTTTGATGGATTAGATGAGCTTGATGGCAAGGTTGTACAGCAAAGGAAAGCTGGTACAAAGTCAGAATGTCACCAGCCAAAGTCATCAAAACTAACAAGTGACACTTTGCAGCCAAGAGTCCACAGTGCAGAGGCAAGTGGAAGTGCTTCAGAGAGAGGTGGCATTGCACTTAGAGACATTCTTAGTTCAGATGAGCTTGCTGCTTGCCCGGTGTTTGTGACAAGTCGCCCATGGAAGGTCGAAGAGATTAGATGGGACAATAGTCTACGGAAACTGTACACTTTCATGTTTGTAGAAGGGTTTAGTAAGGAGAATGTGGAGGTGTACATTCACAAGTACTTTCAAGATGATGGGGCCAAAGCAGATCAGCTTATCCAATTAACCAAAGACAATGTCATCATATCTGAGAATATGGCCCCGTATCCTATCTACATAGCTATGCTCTGTCTTATGTGGAGAGAACTTGGTGACGAAAAACAAGAAAAGTTGAAGTCATTGCAAACTTTTTCTCAAATATTTGATGAAATGTTTGAATTCTTGAAGGTGCATTATGCTCAGAAAGAGATCACAGATTTAGACAGCCAAGATTTCCAAACCTTTCGCTCTCAAATTGAGAAGCTCATGGAACCAGTTGCCAAAGTTGCTTTCACCGGGCTACAAGAAAACACCCTTAGTTTCAAAGAAGGTGATTTTGAACAGTGCTCAGACTCCATTGAAACAGCTTGTAGAGTAGGGGTGTTGTCGCAGGAGAAAAAATTGTCATCTTTATATGATAAGAGCAGTATGTACCTGCAGTCTACTATCTTCTTTCCACACAAACTCTTTCAGGAGTACATGGCTGGGGTCCATCTTGCTTCCCTGTTTGAATTAGATCACAATGAATTCAACAGACTGATTGAGCAAGTAGTGCTGCCTAGAAAGGAAGAGTTTAGGTATCTCCTGTACTTCACTGTATCACGGGACAAGACCATTGCAAACCATGTCATGAAATGCATGTTACAGGGTGGCACTCCAGACAGCAAGGGGGTGAATTTCTTGGTTGATGTATCCTTTGAGAGTCAGGACCTAGATACTGCAGCCTTGGCGAGGGGTGGAATGTCATCTCTGAAAATACACCCATCCATGACAGCACACACCATAGCAGGTTATGTATTCACTGGACTAGGTGTACATAAAGATGTGGTAAGTTTGATATCTTACGTACATTAATAAGTATTACAATTTAAAGGGGATGTCCACCCTGATATTAAGTAGGTTTGAATAGAAGCAGAAAATGAGAAAAACATTATTAAACTGACTTAAAATTCAAAAGTTTCCTATTTTAAATTGAATATTGCTCAATAATTTGTTTCTCTCCTTTTCCTGATTTTATTAAAACCAACTTAATATCAGGGTGGACTTCCCCTTCAATTGCAAACCCAATGGGCATCTACAGAGATGCATTTTTTTAGGAATGGGTATTTAATATTTATTTATTCATTTATTTGTTCATGGTATGGATCAAAAAATGATAAGCAGCCAATGGCTGAATTGTTCACATTTTACAAGCATGTTTTAAAAATACATAAAAATACAATACTAAAAGTGGTAAGAATATCCAAAAGCCAGATGATACTCATGGTATATAGAACACTGTAGATTAAATAATTTAAGAAAAACAAAAACAATACAAGTATAAGTCATGAAACATAATTCATGGAGAGAAGTAAATTGCACTTTTGATCAATAAATTATGTCCATCATTCCCACATTCTATCCGTCTTCTTCTGCCCCCTCTCTTTCCCCTTCTCTCTCTCTCTCTCTCTCTCACTCTCACTCTCTCCCTCTCTCTCTCTCTCTCTCTCTTGCGTGTGGGTTGTCGGCAGATATATCAATAATTTGGTTACAGATATTTGCTTTAATTCATAGTTCAAAGTATTTATGATAAGCTCAAAAGAAAATATAAATCTAATCAATGGTATGAGTATTAAAAAAAGTTTAAGAAATATTGCATAATCACAATTTACAAACCATCAAATTGGTCAATAAATTGTATCAAATTCTTTTGCAGGGCTTGAATAGCATGTAAAATTGTACACATGGTATTATAATCTAATTAACACTAAATAATTTACAACAATGACAAGATAAACGCATTAAACCGAGGATAAAGGGATTTTGCGGGTACTTTTACCTAAGTATGATGCACAACAGATTTATTTATGGATCCCCCTCCCCCTTTACTTTAAATTTAAATTCAAGAGCCTGATGAGGTAGAGGAGGAGCACTTATTTTGAAGCGCTCCGTTTTAAGACTTCGGACTAGGTTTGGCCATTTTGCAATGATCGACAATGTAAAGTTGATTGCAATGGAGGAAGCCCGTGGTGAAAGTTTGATGATGGGCTGGTCAATCTTTTGAACAGACTCAATGCTAGTTTCTCTCGTCATTCATTGAGAGTGGGCAATTCCAATTCTTTTAGAGCATGTTGGTAAGTACAGTAGTGCAGTCCAAGCACAAGGCAGCATGCTCATTTTTTGGATTCTTTCAATCTGATTACTTTGGTTTTCAGTTAGCCCAGAGGGCCAAGCAGGGGCACAGTATTCTACCATGGGCCGAACGTAAGAACAGTAGACAAATTTGATCATTTGCTGGAAGTTTGAATCTGTTTAATATTCTGAGCATGTATAGTTTTGTGCTTGCTCGCTTGACAATATTATTCACATGATATGAACATTTCAGATCATGTTTAACCAGTACTCCAGGGGGGTGTTTCATAAAGCTGTTCGTAAAGTTACGCATGACTTTACAAATGACTCATATATGAAAAGCCAAATGGGATGCTCAATCATTTTTAACTGCATCAACTTAAGTTGAACTGTGCAGATGTAGATTATTATAGTAACGCTGCCTTGCGTCCTTCCGTGCGTCCGTCCGTGCATCCGTAACAAATTTGGTTTCTGATTGATAACTTCAGTAATGTTTGACGGATTTTAATGAAATTTGATATGAAGGTACATGATATCAAAATACAGGCTATTTTCGTTTTCAGAGTATGTAGGTCAAAGGTCAAAGGTCATAGCTCATTAAATATGCAAAAAACTACACATCTGGTTTCCAAACGATAACTTTAGTAATGTTTGACAGATTTTAATGAAATTTGATATGAAGGTACATGATATCGAAATACAGGCTAAGTTTGATTTCGGAATATGTAGGCCAAAGGTCAAAATCATAGCTCATTAAATATGCGAAAAAATACAATCTGGTTTCCGATCGATAACTTTAGTAATGTTTGACAGATTTTAATGAAATTTGATATGAAGGTACATGATATCAAAATACAGGCTAAGTTCAATTTCCGAGTATGTAGGTCAAAGGTCATAGCTCATTAAATATGCGTATCTGATTTCCGATCCATAACTTTAGTATTGGTTGACGGATTTTAATGAAATTTGATAAGAACGTTCATGGTATTAAAACACAGCCTAAGTTCAATTTCAGAGTATGTAGGTCAAAGGTCATAGCTCATTAAATATGAAAATCTGGTTTCCGATCCATAACTCTAGTATTGTTTGACAGATTTTAATGAAATTTGATATGAAGGTTCATGGTATCAAAACACAGCCTAAGTTCAATTTCAGAATATGTAGGTCAAAGGTCATAGCTCATTAAATATGCAAATCTGGTTTCCATTCGATAACTTGAGTAATGTTAGACAAATTTATTGAAATTTAATATGAAGGTACATGGTATCAAAATACATGTACAGCCTAAGTTCGATTTCTGAGTATGTAGGTCAAAGGTGAAATGTAATAGCTGATTAAATAGACAAAGCACCCAGCACTTTACAAAATCAAATTAATAAAGTTTCAAATAATTTATACACAAAACAACATTTAAGAGAGAAAGAAAGAGATGAGAAGGAAGCATTACAAATTTGCACAAGTCTTCAAGGAGATGTCTTTAATACAATATTTACACTAATGATATTTTTAAGTGGGTATACTACCGGCAATGATGATTATTGATTGTCCATTTTTGTTGTAGTGGAAGGGAGGGGGGGGGGTTGATGTGAAACATACATTATGATAATACTTGAGCAGTATCATTTCATATACCCATCACTATAGGCATATGATAAATATCAACAGTCAACTATTTGAATTAGTTTTATTGGACTACCAACCCTTTTCTGGTTGGAAAATAAACTGTCTGCTTGAAATGGCATCCTACACCTCAGTTTTGCTGCAACCAGTCCTCTTGATCATTTGATGCTCAGACTTCAGAGTAACCCTTAATTTTGATGGATGGAATAATTTAGGGCCCTTTAAAATGGCCTTTACCATGCTGCATTGCAGATAAAATGTTATAGCAGGCCTTCCTTTGCAAATAAATTTGGGATCATATAGGTTTCGTAGCACTACTCTGATGATATCGACCACTGTATTAAGTAACCATTCTGTAATCATTCAATGAGACTTTCTTAATGCAGGCCGAGTGACAGAAGCATCAACAAAATCTGAGGTGGTCTTAAACTTTATCAATGGACTCTGACTTTCTCATATTTTAATTTTTTGTTTGTTTTGTTTTTGTTTTTGCTTTTGATTTAGATCGATCTTGGAGTAAATGGAGAATTTGGACCAATTATATCACATGATATGGGGGAGATTATATGCTCTGTGCCCTCTCTAGAGGATGTTACACTATTTCAAGCTGCCTTGCACAGTGACTTCTATGCAGTTCTCGCTAAAGAAGGAAACAAGTCCAAGGTGAGTGAAAAAACACATTGTAATGCCGTAGTCTAGCCTAAGGGGGCGCTTTGTCAAGACGCAGAACATCAATCGCTTGAAAATTTGAAAAATCACTGTGATTACAGTTGTAGAAACAAAATTAAGTTGGGTCAGGAATTTAAAAGTTAAAAACTAAAATGTGTATTGTTTTTGTCATTCTGTCACTTTGCATCCTCCCAGTAAGATTTACACGAGGATGTTGCAAAATTTTCTCACAACATAATACAAAATTGTAGTGGGAGAGGGGGGGGGGGGTTAACCTTCCCCCTTCAGTTGCCAAACTTCCTTAAATAATATCTTTTGTTTCTTGTTTTGTGTGGAACGTGTTCAGCTTCATAATACTTGTCTTCTTCTGAAGACTGGACAGTGATTGAGACAGTGCCTCCACGCCTATTTGTTTAACACTGCTCAAGTTGTCCTAAACTGTGCAATCAGCACATTGCCCAGTTGACACATTTATCAGGGATGTTGTAGTTGCACTGGATGGATTCGTCTCGACTGCTACCATTACCTTGATGACCATCTCTGTGTCCCTTGTACTCGACATACACCAGATTCATTGTTAGGGCTGGGTGAAAGAAGATGCAGCATCGATATTTACTGTGCAGAGACAGATGTGATGGGTTTTAATTGTTTAAACCCATTTTATCCATGGGGCGGGGTTAGGTGTAATTCCGTCATGCCCACTTTCTTCTTACTTGGCATCTGCATTTGTCTGTTCAAGAAGCATGTCAGGAGAAACACAATTGTGCTTGCCGTCTGCTCTCCTTGCAACAAATGCACCCGCCATAAGTGCTTCATGTACATCAGGGGCTGTTTTAGGAAGATTTTTCATCTCATCAAGATAGAGAGGCAGAGACTGCTGCCCATATTTGTAATGCCCTGCTGCTTTGAGGTAAGGTATCATTCAATATGATTCACAGACATGTCCTACCCAGTCAGCTTCTCGCTGGTAGTAGTTAAATCTATGCAGAACATCAGGAAGGTGGACCAGAAGATTGCTGTTGGTTGATCAACCATTGATTCTGGGAAGAGTTCCTGAAGGGCTGATAACTGTTCATGGGAATTCTGAAGCATTTGCAACTTTTCAGTGGCAGTGATGTCTTTTTCATAGAGCATTTTCAAGACAGATTCCACCTCAGGCTGCCAGTGATCTGTTTCTCTGTCTGCTGCCCATCATGTCTAGAATGCTTCCTAGTAGAGGCGCCACATAGTTTCGCTCAGGATTCTGAGGGCATGTATGGCCTGGTAGTAGTCGGCTTTATCACCAAACATCTTCCTGGCACAGACCAGCTGCAACAAGAAAATCTTCTGCACCTGCCGCCCTAAAGATCTGCAAACTGCTTTCATGTAGTTGTGAGCTTGATGAAAGCCACCCAGCAGTAAGACCACATTGCTGAACTCACTACGATGCTTGTCTCTGATGGCTACAGCGAGCTCATATGTAGCCTGATCTCCAGTTATAATTTTGTATTTGTTACCACGTGCATGTGATGTCCTGACAAGTCAAATCATCATTTCCTTTAGTACAGTAGGGTCAGTTGGAGAAGATGGGATCAGAGGAAGATAGCCAATGATTCTAGCCTGTCTATGTGGATGGAGGTCAGCACGGAATGAGGAAAGCCCGGAAGTCCTGCTTCTAAAACTCTAGGAGCATCCACCAGTTGCGAAGTTGTGATCATTCTACCGAGGCGCCACATAAGCAGAACGTCCTCAGTCTGCATGGCCATCTGAAGAGTGAGTGAGTCTGGAACCATATTGTATGCAGATGTGAATGAAATCTCAGTTGAATTTTTCTCACACATCTCTTTCTTACACTTCACAATCTGCTCTAAGAATCTTTGATGCTTGCAGGAGTGTATGGTGTTTTCCCTCGATATCATCTCCTTCTAGGCGCCTCAGTTTTTTCAGTGCGTCACCAAGTGGTAATGTGGAAGCACATATAAATCCTGAACCTTTGGTTTGATTGAGAACCAAAATATGTGACCCATAGTATTCATGTAATGTATGTTTCAAGATGGTCGCCCGGTATTTATCTCCTTTATCGACACCAAGCTCCTCAAGAATGTCTCGGTACCTTACGCGGATGATTCTACGAGGAATGTGGACAGACCAGGAGCTGGAAAAGAGGAGCTTCCAGCTCATCTACAACATCATAAGGGTTTAACTTTGACCGACCAGAATGCGAAGAGCCTTAAATTTGTTCATATATGTTGTTACACACGTAACTGGATGAAGAATAGGCTTATCACAGATTCTTGTTGGCATATGATGCATTTTGTGTAGTCAGTGCTCATATCTTTGGAAGACTTCTTAGCAGGCACATGCTTCATGGACATGGCACTATCTGCCACACGTTTTCTTGGCTGGTTACTCATCTTGCTGTAGGAACCTATAATATAGAGGGGTGTATCATTTGAATAATAGTTGCACTGTATTTATATTTCATATAAACCTAACTTTGAAATGTTACTTTACATTAGCAGGCAAACTTTCACTCTTTCTTGTAATTCTTGTAAGATCTTAAAAGACAGACCCAGGAATTCTGAAATTCATCTAGTATGAGGTTGCTTTGGTCAATGTCACCCTCTTATACCCATATCAATTATAAAACAACATTGAGATGGGGGTAATAGGTATATTAGTATTGGATTAACAGGAGTATTGGATTAACAGGAGCATTGGATGTAACAAACATGTAAAGTCATCACAAAAGGTTGCAAATCCGATTTAAGTGTTGTGATCCAAAACACAAGATGGAACAAAATTTATGCTACATTATATTAAGGTTTATTCTAATCTACAAGTGTTAAAGTGGAACTAGTATCAGAAACTATATATTTATTGGTTCACTTTCTCTTATATTTACATCAGGTAATGTTTTAATACAGAGTCCTTGAGAAGAATCTTCCGGATTGCTCCATAGTGATGCCAGATGATTACATATGGAAATTCTGTAATAAGCTGCTAGATAATATTTTATCAATAATCCAAAAGTTTGCTATGAGTAAAAATATTCTGATTTGAGTTAGCAAAACTTACTACATCCTCAAACCTGCAACTGAAATTCCTACCTCATACCAAAAGGTTCAAGCTGGTTAGGAAGTTTCTGATAGTTTCTTCATCATTCTATTAGTTGAAATGTACTTGTAATGTTTGATTTCCTGTCTCTCTGATGTTGCTAACAACTCTGTTTAGTCATTCATAGAAAAAGGGAAGAATGCAATTAATCATTCACGTTTCAGTTGCAAACTTGACACATACGGTATGCGGCAATGATGACTCATATTAAATGTATTATCAGGGAACTAAACTGCATATTGTCCAAAATGAACTTTGTTATGCTATAACTTTTTTTACATGAAAAGCAAAACATCTGTAATTTTCAGATCATATTCAACTAATATTACATACCTGCCAACCCTTACAAATAATCCGGAATATTCTGTTTTTCTGGATTAGTCATTTATAGAACTTCATTAAAATATTTGTAGATCCAGACAGGATTCTATGTTTTATTTGACCATGTCATACAAAAACCAAGATTCTACAATTACCTTACACAATTTGTATTAATTACAAATCAGAATTACTAATTTTTGGGTGAATTTATGATTGCCCCTGCCACTTGTGTCTCCCCCATCGCCCAGCCCAACCGTTCACTGTCCCTGCAATCATTAAGAAAAAGGATAGAATGCAATTAGATGATTCACGTTTCAGTTGCAAGGGCAAACCTGACAGATATGCGGCAATGACGACGCACGTTAAACGTATCATCAAGGAACTGGTCTGTGCATATTGTCCAAAATGAACTTTACTACGCTATACATTTTTTTACATAAAAATCAATGAACCTGTAATTTTCAGATCGTATTCAACTAATATTAGGAAGGTTTTCTATATATTTTTAATTCTTCAGTTTCAAAAGTGATTGAAATATGGAGAAATAACTCCACCAGGTGTAAATGGGTACCTGATATTATTCAGCACTAGTTACTTTGGCAGCTCGGCTACGACCAGGGTAATATGCGTAAAGCACCATGAGCGTCAGAGCTTGGCGGATACTGGTGCTATATAATTATCCTATTATTTATTATTATTATTATTATGTAAAATAAATTCAATCATCATGAATGTGGTATCATCTTGTAGATAATTTAATTTTCTTTCATTGATACCACATGCATGGTAAAATGATGTTCTGTTACAAAATTATCTTCTAATTATTGACTATTTTTTTTCCAGAAAAATATTGTCAGGGTAGTCCACCTAGAAATTGTGCAGGAAGATCCTCTGATCATGTTTATACCGACCGACCTACAACATCCCGACCAAAACCCCCCAAATTAAGGTTTTGCCCCCTAGGTATTCAGCTATTTTGTTGTTGCCTTGATGGTATTATGTCTTCATTCAACAGAACTATAGTACATACAAATTATTAAAACATAGCAGGCCACATAATACGAACCACAAAGGAAAATTATTGTAAGGTATGTATATGTTCTATAGCTAGACCACTTTCATGTACAATATAACATCTATTATTATAATCATCATAATCATTTTAAGCTTGTAAATAAAATTATCATTCTTTAAACTCTCTAATAGAATATTATCTTTAGCAATGCTGGTCTAAATATTTGAATTACAATGAAAAGGTGCTATACTGAATATTTTACTGAGAAGATTTGCATTTAATTCACATACCTCTAAAATACAGTAGAATCACTGCAATTCGCTCCTACGCTCAGGAATTCCTGATCTTCCTCTTACCTGAATCTTCAGTATGGTCATATCCTATTGGACTGTCTATCCCTGACTCTTGACAAAGGCCTTATATTTTCATGCACTTTTGATCTAACTATAATGTACATAAAAATCACCTGAAGGTACTAGCTGTAACATCACGGATATCTCCAATTCCGTTTAACCGCCTGTCAAAACCGGACGGTTTTCGGTTAAACGATTTTTTTTTTTTT